CACGCCCGTGACTCCATTTTTGCTCCCCCGCACTCCCCGTAGCCAAGGTGTTTCCCCTCCTCTCCTGCCTGAGTGGACAGTTGCCACTCCGAGCTGAGCGCAGCACGTTTCCCTAAGTGGTGGCCAGGAGTTGCCTTCTGACGTCCGGAGGGCCCTGGGTTGGAGAAGGCTGCTGCAAATGATAGGAACCCAGATGGACCAGTAGCCGGACGTGCTGTAAGTGGCAGCTTCCTGTGTTCGGATGGGATGGAGGAGGTCGTCCCAGGTCGTTCAGGGCCTTGTGAAATGCGCACTGGCTGTGCCTTGCGACCATTTCTGAGGTTGAGTTCCTTGCGTCTGCTGCGCACATGGGGCCAGAGCTGTTGGGTGTTGCGTGGCCCCAGCACAATGCAGCAGCAATGCGGGGCGGGGGGCACTTTGTGTCTGCAAGGCCCCAGGTTCAGTTCTCAGCCCAAGACCTCGGAGAGCAGCTTCCAGCCAGAGGAGACTCCTGGGTTAGCTAGGTCTGTGGTCTGGTTCACAGGAGACACTTCTTACCAGTAGTTCTGATAAATTGGGGGAGGGGGATCCTGGGAAGTGAGACCCTACCGATGCCTCTTGTTGCCCTCAATGGAAAAAAAAGGGGAGAGGGAGCTGCTTTTTCCCTGCACCCTGTTGAGTGAAAGAAGCAAGTGGCCAGCTGCTGTTTGTTTCTCCAGATGGATAGCTGCTGGTTTTCACATCTTCTAGAGATGAGGCAGTTTTTTGGAGTTTAGGGTAAGCTGCTGGGAGAATGCAGAACATATTTTGCAAAGAACTTTGGCATCCTGTGAAATGCAGCCGGGTCTTTCCAAGTGTGGTGATTGGGGAGTTGAGATGCTTTAACATGGGAGGGGTGGGGATTGCCCAGGAACATGAAGGTGAGAAGTATTGCCCTTACTCTGAGTTGGCTTTGTGGCATTATCATGGCTGCCTGATCTAATTGGCTGCACTTCGTGGCATTTGCAGGAAGCTCCTTCAAAAATAAAGCAAAAGTGGGGCTTCTCTTGCTTGAACTTACTGTCTGTGCATTAAGTGGAGGTTACCCTGATCTCCCATTTGGGTCGATACAGCCCTGAAATTGCAGATCTCCAAAGTGTACTGGTGTTATTTTCTCCTGACGGTAGCGCTGCTCAGGACCAGCAAGGCAGCTTCCCTGGGATGTTGCTGATGAGGGCTGAGACAGACAAACTCAGCTCTTCTTCTCCTCCTTGGGTTGTCATTGGCTCTGCAGTCTCGGTTCAGGCGCTGCTAGCCGGACGAGCAGACGGCCTGCCGCGGCAGCCTTACCTGGGGGAGGGAGTACCTGGGAATCAGGATTGGGAGGAAGGGCCAAAGGGAAGGTGTCCCTGCAGCTCTTTTCTCCTGCTCTAAAGACCAAGGGGTGCTCAGGGAGAACAGAGAGGATGTACTTTTCATAGACGACAGATGTGACATTTCCTGGCATGAGTGGCAAAATCTGCATCTACCAAGAAGAGCTGCCCAGGTTGGACCAAAGTGCCAGCCCATTGTGCAGACCTGCCTCTGGGACAGGCTGCCCTGATTCTTTTGCGTCATTCACATGCGAGGCCTGGCATGGCGGCTATTTTAGGGCCTCACCCTGCTTTTAGCAAATCTGCTCATTAGTTAAATATGGAAAAGGGTACAAATAACATTTCTGAAGCAACATACCCACTTCCTTCACTTTCAGCAAACATGCATGGGTAGAAGAAGCCTTCCCACTCATGTGGGGAAAAATGAAATGCAGGAAACCTGTATTGTGCATAGCCAGATGCATTGGCAGTATCTCGATCCATACGTTACATTTGTTTGCTTATTAAATTTGTATAGAAGCCGCCGGTTAGCATATTATTACATATTCTCACATAACACTGGTCTTCTACCAGCTCCATTGGCTTCCAGTTGAAGTGCAGGCCCAATGCAAGGTGCTGGTTTCAACCTATAAAGCCCTGAACGGCTCGGGACTGAGATACCTGAAGGAGCGCCTCCTTCCTTATACACCCTCACACCCCTTAAGATCAGTCCCCTGCTCCGGGGACCCTCCCTGAAGGAGGTAAAAAGGACATATGCTCGGAGTAGGGCCTTCTCTGCAGTGATGCCCAGATTGTGGAATGCGCTCCCCGGAGAGGTTTGCCTGGTGCTGAGCCTATATTCTTTTTGGTGCCAGGTCAAAACCTTTTTATTCAATCATTAGTTTAAAAATTAGTATTTTAATGGTTTTAAGAGTCGCTTTTGATTTAATTTATTTTTACTGGTTATATGTTATTTATTATATCGGTACGGATTGTTTTATTGTATTCTAATTTTAATTATTGTAAGCCATCCTGAGATGTCATACATAAAGGACGGCATATAAAAGTTTAAAATAAATAGGTATACAAACATGTTACAGTCAACATGAAGAAGTCTAGAAAATGATGCATGGTGTGGGGAAAATGTCTCTTTTTCCCTAATGCTAGAACCCTTGAGGTCACCTGCGAAGCTGAAGGGCTGGAGATTCAGGACAGACAGAAGGTGCTCCTTCTCATAGCGGGAAGTCAGATGCGGCGTTTACCTGCAGGCCGTTTTTCTTCCCTCTCCTCATCCCGGAACCCAGTGGGGCAATCCCATTAAGTCGGATGGTGGGGGCTCAGGACAGATGAATGGAAGGGCTTCTTTATGCAACAACAACTGTGAAAGCCACTTCCAGGAGATTTAGTGATGGGTTCCAGTTTGTGGATTGGACCGATTCTGAGAGAAGCCGGCTGTTGCAGCCTGATAGCCTTGATGGCTGTATGTAACCTCCAGTCACAGAGTAGGACGCCTCTGTGCACCAGTGGCTGGGGAACATGGGCAAGAGGGTTCTTTTGAGCCCATGTGGATTTCTTGTGAGCAGCTGGGCACTGTGAGCGGAACGCTGGACAGGATGAGTTTGTAGTCTTGGGCAGCGTGGCTCTTCTTAGCTTCCTAGCAAGGTGCATTAAATTGCTCATGATATCCAGGCATTGACGATCAGTGCCACGGTTAATTGCCAGCCACGGTAATCAGGCTAAAATCTGCTAACACATGCAGCCGTGGGCACACCCTGCTTGCACGGAGGTGACGCTTCGCTTTGTGCGTTTCAGCCACAAGGTTTTCTGCCACTCCAGAGCTGCCTCGGTGGAGAGGATCACAACTGGAGAATTCCCACCTTCAGTCTCATCGCTTCCAAAAGCCCCTTTTCCTTTTCGCAGCATCCTTAAAAGGAGAGGAATGCCGCATTTGAGACAATACTTGTCATCTCCTAAATAATTATATTAAAATACTACTTAAATATATGCTGCCCGGTTGATCAGGTTGCCTTTTCAAAAGAAATTCAAAGGAAGCTTAAACCAGGAAAACAACATGGGGATGGAGTTGTAGCCACACATTCAGGGGGTCCCAGTTTAGGAGAGGCCATCTTAAAAATGGCAAACCTGAAGTATTGGCACAGTTACTACTGTTCTTGCAGGGTAATGAAATGTTACACAAAAGTGGTATAAATCAGAGGCAGGCCAGGCCTGGGGATTGTGCAGCTTCAAATTGTCCAAAAGTATTGCTAAGTTTAATGCAAAAAGTGGCATCCAAGCCTTCCTGTGTGAATTGGGGGCCCTCCTGGTCTTTCTTTGGAGGATCCCGTGTTCCCCAGCACCTGCTTGGGCAGCACCATCAATTCAAAGGTAGAGTGCTTTTGCATGTGGAGGTTCACCTTGGCTTTCAGGGCTTGTCATTGGGCCAGTTGCACATTCTCAGCTGGAAAGAGAGGAGAATGTGAGCAATGTGCTACCCTGACCTCCGTGGGAGAAAGGTGGGATGCAAACAGACCAAAAGAGAAAGAAAGAAGATGCAAGCTGGGACCTGGTACAAAAGCCAATCTTGTTCCACACATGCCTGCTTGCACGGGTGTCTTTGGATCCTGTGACACACTGAAAGTTCTGAACAGCGGACTTTTTGCTGTTGGTAATGAGTGTTTCCAGAGCTGCCTTTCATTTTGAGGTGTGTTTTGTTCTGCCTTCTTGCTTGCACCAGAGCAAAGATAATTGCACACTTCGTGTTGTTTGGCATCATGACATATAAATCAATTCTTCTGGCTGTTTGGAAGGCTAGCCTTTCCTTTTTTTTGGAGCAAAGGGTAACAGTTTCAGAATGAGAAAACTGGAGAGTAAGTGCTGTTTTTCTCCCAGAGCCCATCTAGGTGGCTGCTTAACACATTCATTTAGCACTGGGAAAGTGATCAGCAAATGGGTTCCTTCCAGAGAGATGCAAATTATAGCAGGAACATGCAATCCTCCAACCCTTGAAATCTCTCTGATGCATCAGACGTGCTCCTCCTCGGCTTGGAACGATCATTGCACTGGGTGCTTGCACATTGTTGTTCTGCAACAGCCTGTGCCACCAGATGTTTCAAACCCCAACTCCAGAGCTCCTGAACACGAGCCCCTGGCCGAGGTTGCCGGGAGTGGGTGTCCACAAGATCTGGGGATGCACCAGAGGTGGGGAAGATGCCATCCTGCCACATCTTCCTCCTAACAGCTGGTCGAGCGAGAAATGATTCGGCTCTGGAGCTGGTTTTCGGCACTGCAGTGCAGTCGGCCCACGCTTGTCCGTTTTCACGAACCCGTGTTCTGCAGCAGCTCTCGCCGGGTTTTCTTTGTGTGAAGCCGCCTTGGGCTGCTGGAGGTCGGTCCTTGGAGAGGGAGCTGCCCATGGCGGTTTTGGCCTATCGGTGCTCCTCTGTTAGCCACGCGTGGCCCTTGCTCGCAGCAGCTTCCTGGACTGTGTCTAGCGAGAGGCTCTTTGGTGCCGAAAATGAGGCCATCTGTGAGTGTGTGTGTAATCCGATCTGCCGTCCAATGTCTTGCAGAAGGCCGTAAGCTGTGTCAATAAGATCTCTGTTCAGCTCTGAAAACAGCCTCATGATCGAGAGCCGGTTGGCAGTCTTCCTAAGGGAGGGCCTTCTCTCGCTCGCTCGCTCACTCCCCGGCTCCTTTTTTTAAAGGAGAAAGAGTTGGGAGTTTTGGCAGCACCTCGGACGGATTCGGCTGCCATTCGCTGACTGCCAGTTATTGTTTGCTCCTTGGCGTGGCAAAACACCCGAGCGAGCCAAGACGGTCCCCCAGTGCCTTGCCAAAAGCCGTGGGGATGTTTGGAGACAGTTGGAGCGTTGAGCAGTGACAGTGGCATGAGCACGGAGGAGGGCTCTTATGGAAGAGGTGTGGACCTTGGAAACCGCAGCTCCTGCACGCAGGGAGATGGCGGCAGAGTTTAGAGGGATGAGGTAGGAGGTCGGACATCTTTCTTTCACCTTGTGGCATCCATGGCAGGCGGGTCCGAAGCGAGAGGACAGACGGGAGCACAAGGTGCGCTGCTTGCAAGGTGCCGTTTCCCGAAAGTGGGTGCGTGACTAAGAGGCTTGTGGGTTGCAGCCAGCAGTGCGCAGGCAAAATGGCAGTTCTGGGCCTTTTTTGTGGGCAGTTCTTGTGCAGTGTGTCTCAGATAGGTGTGAGCCGTTGCGTCAGGCGTTGGCCAGCGAAAGTGTGTCATGAGACTGGAGGACGAATTTTGCACAAATTCCAGTCATTTTCCGTGTCCCTGCTGCCTGTGTACATTGCAGGAAAAAAGTGCTTCTCCCGCCTCTGAATGGATGCGTTCAAGGTCCACCGCAGCTGAGAAATGCTGGTGACAAATTCCTCTGGGATTTGCAGGGCACAGATTGGGGACTATTAAAAAGTGATCACTAAAAAAGAAGGAAAACCCCATGCATGCAAAATGCAGCTGCCTCTGAGCCATGCTGGGCGGTGATAGAACAAAGGCAGGCAATGACAGGAAATGCTGGTTTTGCCGCTCTGGTTCCTTGCAGAAGAGGCCCGGGCTGGTTAATTTCTTTTTACTTCCTGTTCACAATCCGTTTGGGGAGCAGGCGCTGTGTTTTTCCATGCAGTGCTTTGGTGAATGTTATTCTGTTTGAGTGATACATAAATCCGACCCTTGGGTACAGCATGTTCCAGAGAGCCTCCAACTTTCACTTGATAAAGCGAGGCCCCTCTCTTTCCAGAGATATTCCCCCCGCCTTCTTGTGAACACGTCTGTTCTTGCAGCCGTCCTGGGATTGTGCGAACACTTGGTATTCAGAAGCCTAAATGTCACGTGGATTTGGGCGGAGGCCCCTGGCACAAAAATCCTCAGTGATTAATTTTTATTGACTGAATGTTTGCATGTCACATTTTCGGCAATACCTTGGTAAAAATGTATGTGTTGAGCCGGGGGCGGAGGGGTGGAAAGCAGGCACCCCATGTTGCAATATCTCTTCGTGACGTGATCCTATGCATGTTTCCTCCCACACCTTGCTGTGCTTAATGTAGCTTCCTCTCTAGTAAAACATGTGCAGGATTGCGACCTTAGGCAGAGTAAATGAACAGTTAAAGTGCAGCCCAGCACAAAATTCAAGCGGGTGTTTTCTAAAGCGGAGCTTGGAACTGTCTGCAGAGATCTACCCTGCAGCCTCCAGCTGTGCTGTGTTGAAGCTGCAATTCAACAGGCTTAGCCGTTCACATTACTGCACTCCCTGCTGGCAAACTCACCACCTGTTGATTTCTACCTGTGGCATAACTGTGCAGCAAATTGTGCAGAGCTCACAGAGCCAGGGTGGTGTAGTGGTTAGAGCGCCGGGTGCAGACCTGGGGCATCCCGGTTCTAGTCTCCACTCACCCATGAAGTTTTCCAGGTGACCTTGGGCCAGCTTACTTCACAGGCTTGTTGCAAGCAGAAGAGGAGGGTTTTGTGAGGGTCGCTGCAGGAAGCAAGTTGGGTGCAAATACTAGTAAAAGCACCTTTTCGTCTCCCCGTGCCAGCACGGCTGGTTTTGCAGTGCCAGAAACAGCCGGTGCCTGTTTGCATGGAGTAGGCGTGTGTGTGATGGGAGAAATTGGGCATTCTGAAAAGAAGCGGTGCTCCGAGCCATCAGGAGAAAGCCTGAGGTGAGGGGACCAGTGTGCCTTGCTCAGCCCTTGGTCCTGGCACTAACTGAGGGTGGGCAACTTCAAGGCCCATGTGGCAAGGCAGGAACATGTGAAACTGGCCAGCAGAGTGTTCTTGAGGGGCTGTCCTGCTGTCAACCCTCTCCCACACTCAGTTGGATGCACGTAACCTTTCAATTTCAGACAACCATGTTGGCTGGTGCCTAAATGAATTAGACCTCTTTTAATAGTTTCCAGAGCTGCGAGTTAGAATGTTATCGGATAGGTGTTGAACCTCATTTAGTTCGAGGGCTCAGTTCTAGAGGAGCTTTTGAGGGCCATGTTCTGACGTGAAAATAAGGTAGGGCCAAAAAGACCAACATATTTGAGTGTATGTCTCTTCCTGTCAGTCATGCAACCTTAGGAGAAGCTTTGCAAGAGCTGGGAAATTACCCAACAAACCTGTGGTGGGGCAGAGGAGTGGACGGGCCTTCTGGGGGACTCGGAGGGCCAGAATGGGACCGAGGCAGGCTGGATGTAGCTGGCACGTCTGGCAGTTCAAAATAACAGATGGTGCTCTCTTGTGTGCAAACCGAGCAAAAGGGGGGACCCCATAAAGAATACGAAAAAGTCAAAAGCAACATGGCAAACAGAGATGTTCTGTTTGACAAAATAAAGTTTTCCACACATTTCCAGCCATGTGTGGGTTCTTCCTCAGGGAAATGTAAGCATTTACAGCAGGAGTGGGCAATTAATTTTCCTATGGGGCCACATGAGAAACTTTGGCAGTTGTTAAGGGCCGGGCCAATACACTTACAGCTCTGCTCAATATATATCTCTATAAAAACGGTAAATGAAACATTACAATGAATATGTGGAGCACAGAACAACACTGTTTAATGAATATTCACAAAAACATTAACATTACATGAAAAACAATAAATTCAATTCAATTTTACTTATATAGCACAAATTTACAACATATGTAATCTCCCAGCGCTTAACATAGTAAGGTACAGACCTGAGAAACAGAAAACTCAACAATCCAAGTTGCCTTTGGATTCCCTATAAATGCATCCAGCTTTGTTTGTTTGCATTACCTCAGTTCTTTTTTTTGTTGTTGTTCAGTGAGAGAAATCTAGTCTGTTTTGGGCTTGAATGACGATATATATTTGCATTGACTTTTTATTTGCCAGTGACCTCCTGCGGGCCAGTCAGGGTCAGCCATCGGGCCGGATGTGGCCTGGGCCGTACAATGCTCAGGTCTGATCTACAGAGTTTATGGATGTCAAATATTCCATATTCAACTTGATGTGCCATTTCAATAAGGTGATATGCAGTCCAGTAATCCAGCACCATACAAAGCTTTAACTCCTCTGCAAAACCTAATGAAAGATAAGTTCAAAATATACGAACGTGTGTGTAAACAATTACTGCTTCTAGAGATAACAGAGCATTGGAGGCTGGCCTCTGAAGAGAAAACACAGCTTGCTGCCTTCCACGTTTTCCTGAAGAAGGGCTAGCGCAGAGTCGAAAACATGTTTGAACCTTTTCCTTTCCCTGAAAAAAGCTGCTTTACCCTTTGCATTTGGCCTTTTGTATCCCATGCATTGGAAAGGTCAGAATATGAGAGTGCCTCAGGATCAGGCCAGGTGGTTCTTTGTCGTCCTGCATCTTGCTTCTTGAGCATTTCCCAAGGAAGCCCTCCCAGCTGTTGCCGTGTTCAGAGGTAGGCTGCCCAGGACCCGAGGGCTCTCCTTGCCTTCATGTCTTCATGGGTCCTTGCCAGGCCACTTCTTGGCTTTATTTAACCTCAGGAGTAGGTAAAACAGGGACTGGTTTCTCCAAAGCAGGTTGTCAGCTTTGTTTTACTGGCTTTGCTTCTGCTCCCGAGGATTTCGTAAGCGAGGGTGCTCTTCTCCAAGCCTTGGCAAGTTTCTCCTGCTGGGTTCTGCAGATGCTGCTGCTGATGGATGCAGAAGAGCAGGCCAAATAGTTTCTCCTGCTTGGTTGGCAGCTTTCATACGCATGTTTAAAAGACTGGATTTTTAGGGGGCTGTTGAGGGAGCTAAGAGCATCAATGGTCTGGATGGGGAATCTGGCAGGTGCCAGAAGGAGAGATGGATGCACTATAGCAGGAGGTGGTATGTGTGTTCCCTGCCTTTACGGTGAAGGGCAGCGCTCTCGGTGAAGGATCAGTGTTGCCCCTGGACCAGGCAGTGGATCGTAGAATCCAGCCAAGAGTGTACAACAGACAGGGCAGCGGCCTTGAGTTTTCTGACAGCTGCGCATCAGACTCGGTCTGACAAGAGCAAAAACTCCTTCAGAGGAAGAGCTCGCTGTGCCGAATAAATGGGGGTTTTTAAGCCCTTTTCCCTGTGTGCATGCATGTGTGTGAGGCAGAGAATTCTCCAGCTCTGATTGGAAATCCATGACCTCACTGAGTAACCCTCATTCCAGGGAGCTGAGCTGGGCCTGCTATTTATGCTGGTGTTTCCCCTGCGCCCGCATTTGTCTCGTGTTGGTTCTCACCCCTGCACTGGAAGGAGAGCTTTAGGAGCGCCAAGGCCACACATTTCTGCCGCTTGCAGGACGCAGGGCTGCTTCTGTGAGGTGTCCAGAAAGGTCCGCTGGTGGAAAATGGAAAGGAGGTCAGCATGCCAGTCTACCGTTCGGGGTATTATTTGAGTGCCACTTAGTTGTGGGAAGATATTTTGGGTGGGGAGCAAGTTGTGGAAGCCACTTCCCTTTTATTCTGTCTTTAGATGCTACGAAAATGCAGAGCACCAGGCTTGGGGCCCATCTCTGATCCCCTGAGATGCCCAGGATGGCCCCACCCCATTTCCACATCTCCTGATCTCTTTGTGGTGCCCCGGCTTCTCTGTGGTGGTCCCCCCCACCATTCTGAAAGACTGGAGCCCCTCATGTAAAGCATAGTCACTGGCAGCAAGAGCTTTAAGCTGGCCTGTCTAGGTATTTTGGTCCTGCGCATCAGTGGAACATGGCCCTGGAAATTTCTCTGAAATGGATTTTGGCCCTTGGGGTAAATGAAATTCAGCAGGCCCATGGTAGAAGGTTCCTCAGTTCCCTCTGAGCTCTTTGGGGTGGTTGGATGCTGTGCTAGTCCAGAGAGCCCTGGGTTGGTGCTGGGACCCTTGGAACAGTTCCACCTCCCAGCTGAAATAAACTCCCTGATTCCCCATCTCTGAAACGGGGTAGTGAAGTGAGAAGGTCCAGCCCCAACCTGAATTGGCTGCCCTGGTTTCTGTACCTAATTTGGAGTCTGAAGGTGCTGGACGCCAGTCATTTGAACACCTTTCTT